TGATAGGGAATGGCAAAGGACACACTGACAAAGGAGATTAATCAGAACTGGCTTTGACAAGCACTGTGGCAATTGGACAATTAAAACAGACTTTCAAGGTGGGGGAAGAAGAACGAACTGGGGATGAGGGTAGAGAAAACAGTGCAACAATGAATAAATGAAAACCCAAAATCTCTGTAAATGATCATTAAAATGAATAAAATTTAATTAAAAAAGAAAGATCGATGATCTCCTTCTGAAAAAGAATGCCCAGAGAAAGCCTGAAAAATAATGGCCTTATGTGTGGTAGTGAAATACCATGTGCTACAGTGTCAGCACAGGCCACTACAGTGTGTGAGGATGAGTTCATCAAGTTGGAAAACACTAAAAATTTGACTAGAGAATAATTGTAATCTCAAGGTATTATCTATTTAATGACATAGATGGGCTAAAGGTTTCGAAATTTATCTGTGAGTTTGACATGTCTCAAAATGAGAAGAAACTATAGCAAACATCCTTTAATAATCAGGGTGTAGAATACAAAGTATAATTTTAGAAAAAATAGGAAGTTATAAAAGATGAAATGGAATGCATGAAGATGGATATGCTAGCTCTTAATCAGATGAAATGGAGGGGTAGTGTATGTTTTCAGTCTGGTAACTATACGGTTTGTTATGCTGGGCATGACAAAGAAGAATGTTGTCACATTCACCATCAAAAAGAACATTTTCATAGATATTCTGAAGTGTATTGTTGTCAGTGATAGAACAAGAACAACAAACATGCAAGACAGGTCTACTATTTTCACCATTGTTCACACTGGTGCAACGATAATTAAAAACAAATGTAAAGATATTCTCTAGCACCTGAACAAGATTTAAAAAAATTGTGCCCAATTGCAAAATGGGCACAGAATATGAACAGACACTTTACCAAAGAAGATATTCAGATGACAAACAAACAGATGAAGAAATGTTCACAATTCCTAACTCTAACGGAGATGGAAATCAAAACAACTATGAGATATCATCTCACTCCAAAAACAATAGCAAAGTTCAACAGAGCAGCAAACAACAAATGCTGCAAAGGTTGGGGAGAAACTAGAACCCTTATTCACTGTTGGTGGGAGTGTAAAATGGTGCAGCCACTCTGGAAGGCAATATGGTGCTTCTTAAAAAGTTGGAAATATAAATACCATTTGACCCAGAAATTCCACTACTGGGAATTTACCCTAAATAAACCATAACTGCCACCCTAGCGGATACATGCACACCCATGTTTATTGCGGTTTTGTTTACAATAGCAAAAATCTGGAAACAACTCAAGTGCCCATCAACAAAAGAATGGATAAGAGAAGCTGTAGTATTCACACAATTGAATACTATGCAGCACTGAAAAACAAGGAACTCATAAAATATTATACAAAATGGGTGACCCTGGAGGACATTATGCTGAGTGAAATATCTTAGTCACAAAGGACAAATAATGCATAATGCCACAACTGTTATAAAACAGGACTGATATGGGAGTTTAGGGGAAAATGAAGAAAAGAGGGAATAAATAATGAAAACTGCGTTGAAATAGATGAGGGCAGTAACTGACAATAATCCAAAATAAGAGGTGCATAAGAAAGTGGACTGTGGGGGTTGGGTGGGAGAAAATTGTGCAACAATGAAAGAATCTTTTTAAAGAGAAAAACACATGGGGGAAGGGTTGGAAGGAAAATGTGTAA